TACGAAGTCTCCCTTTTTACAACACGCTAAAAAACAAGGGAGGAGATTTTTAAATCCTTACCACCCTTTTTTAACAAAAAGGTCACAATGCTATCACCAACATTGAACACTCTTTTAAAAAATCCATTGAAACCTCCCCTTCCCCCCCATATCAAAAAAGCAAGGGGCCCCCGATCCACAAAGGAGGGACCAAAAAAGTTGAATAACTATAGGCCCCAAATCCAACTTCACCCTTTCAAAAAATTCGAAAAATTAATTCATAAACGAATCTACCACCTTACTCCCCAAAAAATACTCAACCCCCGCCATTTTTGGGTTCAGGGCCAATAAAATATAATGATGCTATTATACACAGCTAAAAACATTTACACTGCAATGAGAAAAAAAAAAGTCCCCGGGGATCTTCATTGATTACGTAAAGCTTTTTTATACAGTTAAAACCAAGACTTTCCCAGTAAAATTGCACCTAGGTAAGAGGGCCTCCCCCAACTACCTCAAGTCAACCTCCCAAAAAAGCCAATTGTGTATGCAAAAGGGGAAACTCTTTTGACAAACCCAAATTTCAGTTGGGGCCCCCAGGGAAGTGTCCTTGGCCCTCTTCTCTTTCTCCCAAATAAATGACCTACCAAATGGGTTCGCAATTACTCAAACCCCCACATTTGCAATGACACAATACGTCTTCTCCCCCCCAACCAGTCAGCTAGCCAATACGAAATACGAATTAAAAAAAATATCACCTGGATGAGACTAAAAACTTTCACTAAACATTGACAAAACCACTTCATTCAGTTTTGGGAACAGAGTAAAGGGCCCTCTTAACATAAGAAAAGGATCCTATCCAAAAGCAACAAGGGAAAATTTGGAATCCCCCCTTTTAAAAACTCAAATTTCAACACATATCAACAAATTTTAAGAAAATTTCCAAAACTGTGGGTACTATCGAGATACGTACTTCTCCACAGCCCCCCCCTGGGCCCATATCACTCCTTTTTTACCCATCTCACCTATGGGAAATTTTTGCAGGGCCAAAAACAAGTAACCATCCCCAGACCATAATTTCCCAACAAAAAGGCCCGCAGTTAGAAAGATAAAAATTTTTTTACTAAAGGCGCAACCCCCCACCCAAAATTTAATCACTAAACCCCATTACCATACAAAAAATTTTAACTTATTATGCACCTGTTACAAACAAGAAAACCTTAACTCTGATATTAACCCCCCCCTCAAAAAATCTCCTTCCAACCCAAAAGAAAACTGACCATAACACAAGGCACAGATCATCTTGATGTTCCTCGTGTCCATCCACACATGCAAAAACCCAAAGCACATAAAAGGGCCCCAAAACTGGAACTCATTACCGTAAAAATTTAAAAAAAACATATGTTTATAAATTCAAATCTCTTCTCAAAGATCACTTACTCACCCAAAAACCCAAAAAAATACTGAAAAACTGAACCTATAAATTGATATCTTAAATTTTTCACAATTATATCACAAAATGTTAAACCTAAAACCAATTAATTTATTATTTTTTAAAAACACTACCCAACAGAATACCCCATTTACTGAATGTACAACAATGCATACAACCCTAAGACCTGTTTTTTGTAAAACTACTTGTTTTATAGTAATCTGTTTACATTAAAGTTTTATCACCGATGTCTCATTGCTTTTCATCTTTAAATTATTTTTTAAACCGCCCCTAATGCATGCTAGTAAAGTGGCTTTGGAAATGCTCTTTTCTGTATTTTTGACCTCGTTGTGTGCACAAATTTTTAAAAAAATAAATAAATAAATAAAAGGGGGCCCGCGACAGTCAAAAGGGGTTAAAAAAACCCTGGATCGGGGAGTTATTAAGTCTTCAAATTTAACGCACAAAAAAAGTTAGAATAAATTTTTAAAAATTTCAGATCTATAAGCTATGCTAGAAGGCATGGGTGAAGTGCCTCAATCAACATTAAAAAACAGGCTGGGGAAAGTTAGGCCTTCTGTATTAATTTTTTCACTGGTTTTCCCCCTTTCTTGAGAGTTCAGTGGCAAGGAGATTACCCGGGTGGTTTTTTAAGATTGAATAAGAAATGTAATGACTCCAGAAAAAGAAAAAGAAAAAAATGAAGAAGAAGAAAAAGAAGAAGAAAAATAGAAAAGAAGAAATAGAAGAAGAAAAAAGAAGAAGAAGAAATAGAAGAAAAAAAAAAAAAGAAAAAAGGGAAGAAATGAAGAAAAGAAGGAAAAAAGAAGAAAAAAAGAAGAAATAGAAGAAAAGAAGAAGAAAAGAAATAAAAAGAAAAAGAAGAAGAAGAAGAAAAAAAGAAGAAAAATAGAAAAAAAAGAAGAAAAAAAAGAAAAAAAGAAGAAGAAATAGAAAAAGAAAAAAGAAAAGAAAAAAAAGAAGAAGAAGAAAAAAGAAGAAGAAAAGAAGAAAAGAAAAGAAGAAGAAAAGAAAAATAGAAGAAGAAAAAAAAAAAAGAAAAGAAGAAATTTAAAAAAAAGAAGAAGAAGAAGAAGAAGAAATAGAAGAAGAAGAAGAAATAGGAAGAAGAAGAAGAAGAAATAGAAGAAGAAATAAAGAAGAAGAAGAAGAAGAAGAAATAGAAGAAGAAGAAGAAAAGAAGAAGAAGAAGAAGAAGAAATAGAAGAAGAAGAAATAGAAGAAGAAGAAAAGAAGAAGAAGAAAGAAGAAGAAGAAAGAAGAAGAAGAAGAAGAAGAAGAAGAAGAAGAAGAGAAATAGAGGAAGAAGAAGATAGAAGAAGATATGAAGATGATGATGAGATGATGAAGAGATAGAAGATGATGATGATGATGATAGATGATGATGATGATGAATGATGATGATGATGATGATGATGTGATGATGATGATTTATGATGATGATGATGATGATGATGATGATGATGATGATGATGATGATGATGATGATGATGATGATGATTGATGATGATGATGATGATGATGATGATGATGATGATGATGATGATGATTGATGATGATTGATGATGATGATGATGATGATGATGATGATGATGATGATGATGATGATGATGATGATGATGATGATGATGATGATGATGATGATTGATGATGATTGTGATGATTGATGAGATGGGTGAGATGATAGATGACTGATGATGACTGATGATGAGGATGATGACTGATGATGACTGATGATGATGATGAGATGATGTAGTGATGATGATTGATGATTTTGATGGGGATGATGTGAGAATGTTGATGCAGATGTTGATGAGATACAGGATTGATGATGATGATGATGATTGATATATTGATGATGATGAAGACAGGAGTCCAAGGAAATGTTAGCAGAGCTTGATAACATGAACAAGGAGGGACATAACAGAAGATAGAAAACCTGAAGAAAAACAGTTAACACTGCAGTAGTTAAGTGAGCAGTTTCCATACTACTGGTAAAAGTTACAGACATTTCACTGGAGAGGACCCTGACCAATCTAAAAGCAGTGTTTTGAAAAGGTTAGACCACGATGAGCCTTACCGTCACTGTATCTGTATTGCGGGGGTAAAACACCAGGAACCATTACAAAAATTTTTGCACACTCCCAAAACAACCATCAACTTCAGACCGAACCTTTACCATCCACTTCTGTCGACAACCCAAAAACCATCCACCTACCAGTAGGGGCACACCTCCCCAAATTTCTCTCTCTACAATCATCCCCACACCATTACCCACCAATTTTGGTAAGAATTTCTTTTTTCAATGCACTTGTAGTCTTAAAACTTAATATACCAAAAATGAACTACAATTACATTTTTCACTTTTTTTTTTGTAAGATCTGTTTGTCAAAAAAAATTTTGGTTTTTTTGGGGGGTCCCAGGAAGAACCTTATTTTTCCACAATTCTTCGTTCACTTAGCACAATTTTTTCCCAAAACGGATTTTCAGGAAGAACTCCCGTGCTAAATAACGGTTACTGCATATCGCAACACTTCTCAAGGGGCGTGCTTCATTTGCCCTCAGGGGACAAACAAGAGCCCCCTTTTTCGGCTTTATATTTCTGTAAATACTAAGTTTTTTTTAGATTATTACATGTAAAAAAGTCCTCTTTTACTTAAAAAAAAAAAAAAAAAAATTTAAATCTTCGGAGTGCTGGGCAAGAGAATGTAGATCTACGTTTGGATAGTTAAGGGGTTGAAGTATAGGCATTGTACTTCTCATTTCCAGGACTCAAGTCCAGCTAACTGGTTTCCCTGAATCTCTTCACAAAATATCACCCTGCTCACACTCAACAGCTCATCAGGGCCCAAAAAACTATTTGCTTCCGCTCACTCCTATCTAACATGCTCATACATGCCTGCTGGACGTCTAAGAACCCCTGCACACAAAACCTTCTTTACCTCTTCTTCCATCCTCTCCTAAGATGACCCCTGCCCTGTGTACATACGTGCTCACCTATATGTATTAACTTGGCAATGCGTCTCAATTTGACGCTTGCTAGATTTACTCCCTCCTAGCTTCGCGAACCCTATCATACCTGTTCTTCAGTCTATGTATGGAGCATGTCTCCACTATTTCCTCACAAAGACCATTTCACCTTCCAAGTATCCTGAGATTGAAGAAACACTTCCAGACCTCCTTTGTAGCCCATCTCGATTTTTTAACTTTCAGCAGTGTCCTCAAGTTTCCATTTCTCACATCTCAAACAGTTTGTCTCTGTCTATGTTATCAATGCCACTGAGTAATTTATATATTATCATATCTTCCCTGGTTCTATCAACCAACATCAATAGATTCCACTCCATTAACCTCTCCTCATAGCTCATGCCCTTCAACTCAGAGCATGTCTTGTTGTGTATTTCAGCACTGCTATTTCCCCTTGAGGGGCCATGTATGGGAAACACATTTGGTGAGCTCATGGTATATTTACTGAGTTATATCCCTCCCCATTATAGAAAGAAACTAGCCAGTGTAGATCACTATAGTTTATAGCGCATGTAAACTCTCAGTTTCACAGATAACTTACTGCATTTAGGATGGTAATCTTTGGTTGAGATGCTGTTTCACCCATTAGAGGACTAGATGGTACAGAAGCAACACAGAGTTGGAGATTAATAAACAGGTGGCGTATAACTCGTCTTCGCATCCTTTCTAGCTCATTGTGTACAAAAGAGTTGCGCTCTTCATGGTTGCCCTCCACATCAACATACTTCACTTCCTAAAAAAAAAAAAAAAAAAAAAAAAAAAAAAAAAAAAAAAAAAAAAAAAAAAAAGTCTGTAAAGCAGCAGTGAGGATATTTCAAATTTTCTGATTCAATGTTAAATTACCTCAAGCTAAATATGACAAAAATATATTAATTTTAATACTGGTAATTGCTGTATTCAGTAGTCTCACCTTTTTTTTTAACCTGATAACATTTTTTCCCAATTTTCGCTTTCCTGGAATTACATTGAACTTTATGGTCGTTGGTGACACTTTAACTTTAGAAGGTCCGGGTTTTGGTTCCTCCTCTGGCACAATAGCTCGTTCACTGGAGGAAGAAGACTGCCGTAAATGTGCCAAGTGAGATGGTAGCCGGGCAGATGAATCAATAGGCGACGATTCATCACTTTTTGTTTGCAATACCCCAAAAACTCCAGTTGTTGACTTAAGTTTGCTGCTGGTAGGGGATGCTGTTTTTCCAACCTGCATAATTTTAAGGATGTGTTAGTAATAAGAAATACATAAGCTAAGAACATGCTAATTATAATATGCTATACACTACATTAATCTTATAATCAGCTTTACTTCTTTTTCCAGCAATCTGATAAGAAGCTCGACTTGTAACCAAAATTGACATTCTAATTTAGCCTACTATCTCTACATATTAATATATATCAGTCCTAGCTTTCAAGCCATCCAAACCTTACCTATGTTTTTTCTTTGTTACTTTTATCTTACTGATTATAGTTCTAATAATAAGTCACAATTTTAACATGCCCACAAGGCTCTGAATAATCAGTGACTCTCCCAATACAGCCTCTTCTCACTTAGCGATGTACTCATTTACCGATGACTCAGACTAACGATGGGCTCTCTGACCAGTATGCATACCTAAATAATGTATATTAGAGATGGAGTGAATGATGATGAAAGTTTTTCTTTTTCGGGCCACCCTGCCTTGGTGGGAATCAGCAGATGTGTCAATAATAATAAAAATAGTGCTAATTTCCTCTATTCTGTTGATGACAATACAGTAGGGCCCCACTTATATGGCAGGTTAGGTTCCAGGCTACTGCTGGAAAGCAGAACGCCATTTTTTCCACTTATAAATTCATATAAATGCCAAACAATGAGTTTACACTAACTTATATTAAGTTAGTAATAGAACTAGGCATTAAAAAACACAATAAAAAGTAAAATACATACACAGTACATTCATTACTTACCTTACAATATTTGTAGTCTTAATGTAGGGTGAAAGGCGAGAGTATTTGTAGTAAGTCAGGTGTAGATAGCCCTGGCTCCCCATCTCAAACTTAATTAATATACGATATTTAACCCCTTGACTGTTGCAACCCCCAATCCTGAGGTGTCTCCTGGTGTCGCAAAATTTAAAAAACAAAAAAAAAATTATTTTTTCTCATGAAATGATAGAGAATCTTTTCCCGATTGTAATGACACCAAAAAAACGAAATTTGATGGAAAACTGACGGAATTATGCTCTCGCGAAGTTAGCGACCACGGCGATATTTACAAATCGGCGATTTTGCCCACTTTGAGCCCTATTTTCGGCTAATTCCGTTGTTCCAGTCGACCAAACTCATAGCTATTTCTTTAGAACTCCATTTTTTCTATCGATTGAGTACAAGAAACTGCCCATTTACTGATTTCAACTACCCAATAATGTGGTCAGAAATTTGCAATTTGGCCAATTTCACGAAAACTAAAAAATATGACAATTTCAAAATAAGGTCCAGAATAAACAATGCCGACATTCCTGGCTCTAAAATAACATTTTCTTTGTTCATCAGTCATGTCTCCAGGCCCCTCTGATATTACTCTTGCTTTCTATTTTGAATTTTTATTCAAACAAAAAATAGAAGACTTACTATTATGCAGACTACTGCAATACTGTAATAATTGTATAAATAACATCAACCCATTCATGGCTGCATATCAGAATGGCTAGTTGGACATTTATTGGACAATGGCATCATTTGTTTACTTTTGAACATTGGCAAAAATCAAACATTTCCCCTACTTTGAGCTCAATTTCTAGGTTCTTTTTATAGTAAAATCAATCAAAATCACCTCCATTTCTATAATATGTTTTCCATTCTATCAAATGAGACCAAGAAAACGAGAATACACCCATAAATACTATACGAAAATAGACCACAAAGTCGGCATTTTAATTAAAAAAAAAACGGTCTGAGTTTTTTTTTTCTCGTTATGCACTGCATGCTCCAGGATTTTTTTTATATGGTGCACACTAACCACACAGACCCATTCTCTCACATGTGGGCCTACCAGCTTTCTCCTGCTTGATTTGAAGCCGCTAGAATTTATGAGTACAGTATATATACGTCAAACACGGTACCTCGTAAGACGTATATATACGGCCGCGACAGTCAAAGGGTTAAAGCAGCCCAGAGAGATAAAATACACATACAGTACACTCATTATTTACCTTAAAATATGTGTAGTCTTAATGTAAGATGAGAGGTGAGTAGTATTTATCTGTAGGAAGTCAGGTTCAGGTAGCTGGTAGATGCAGGTAGCCGGTAGGTAGCCTGGTCTACATAGCTAAACGATATTTAATGTGGCCCAAAGCCATATTATTACCATCGACATACCATGTTCACTAAGTTTAATCATTTCTAACAACTACCTTTAGATGCCATCATAAACGAAGAAAGAAGTAATGAATAATTCATGCTGAGAATTGTAAACAAAATCATTGCCAAACGCAGATTCATACAAGTTTTTTCTGATGCTGGACCAGAGAAAACGCAATGTTATCCCTCCGGCCGGCTACCACACCTCATAAACAAACATAGCGTGTTTATTTGTTATGCAACGTCTTTCTTATATAATTTTTAAGAAAATATCAAAGATAGATTAATGAAAATGTCTATATTAACATAAAATAAGACATTTAATGTGCCCAAGAATGATTATTATTATGTATTAGTATTATTACTATGGCAGTAAGACTAGAGGGACATTCTTAGTGATTTTAATGTGTACCTGCAAGCCAGCACAGTGTATAAGTTTATTTAAGTACAGGTACACATAAGTATAATTATCAGAGTACATGTAAAATATGCAATAACTTGAAAACACTTGAAATTTTGGAAAGTTTCCAAACATAATGGTGAGATATGCTCACAGAGAATGTAAACAAACTGGGTGGGGCATGCTGTATTAGAAAGATCAATTGCATTGTAAAGAGTTTTTGTCATGATTTGAAATTGCTGTATTAGCGGAATGCCGTAAGGCAAAGTGCCATAAAGCGTGACCCAGCTGTATACAGCACACTACTGTATAAACATTTAAAAATATACTAAAAATGTTATAAATGGTGCAAAGGTGACCACATTAAAACAATGTCAAAGATGGTTGACACAAACCCACTACCATTATACAGGTCCACATCCCTTTATCCGAAATTCTAAAATTCAAAAAGTTCCAAAAACCAAAGTTTTTTCGTGGAATGTGGAGCGTCAGTCACTGACAGCCAGAGTGGCAGGCGTCAGTTGTGTCTGAGCATTTGTAGTTTTCACACGTGCGTCTGCTGTTCACTGATATTTTGTTTTTGCTTTTTATTTTGTGACTTTAATTTCACTCTGAAAATGTTAAAAGGAGCTGAAGATACCCCTATGGGTAACAGTGAGAAAAAGAAAAGGAAGCATCTGACATTATCAATAATGCAGAAAGTATAGTAATTGCAGAAGCTTGATCATTGTGTATCAGTGCAGCGTCTTACTGAAGAATATGGTATAGAAAAATAGCTTAACTCACTGGCAACACAATGGTACAAGAATCAATGTTCTATGATGATCCTACAAGGAATTACAGTCATTTATATCATGTATGGTGACATCTCCACTGGGCAACATGACTTCTCACATCCTGTAATTTTTTAGGAATTTTTTCCTTTTTCTTTTTTTTTTTGGTGCTATACCTTGGATTATTATTTCTAATATAATAATCGACGATTTGGCATCATATGAGAGTGGGCAGAGCTAATACGTAGACTTATAAACAGTCAGGAATGGTCTGGGAACATTAGATTACGTCAGCAGGATTCCTGCTCAGGGAGGCAGGAGAAAATACTTTCAATATAATGCTAATATCAACTCTACGGCTTATTTATCTATCACATTTGATTTAATATGACATAATAAACACTATAAATAACATAGTGACACGTTATCTACTCTAGAATGAATAAAATAGGCCATAATATGGCAAGTGTACACCAGCAATATCACATATAAAATCATTTCCCCTCCTTCCTATAACATGTTCTTTGGCCTTGAGTAAGAGAAAATGGAGTTTTGGAGAGGCTAACTTCACTAGATCACTAGTTTCATAAAGAAAACACTGAAACAAAATCTATTCTCTTGGAAAAATTTTTTTTTCCTAAGACGGAAGGCTGGCTGGCGATTATCTCTGAAATAAGTTATTGACTTATTTCATGAAGCCCAACCTTTATTACTGAAGTATATTTGAAATTTGTGTGGGAGTAAAGGGCAGATATTTTACAACATGTCAAAAACTTAGCAAATTTATTTTTTGTAAAATAAATATACAAGATACTACGTATTTACGGGATTTCCCAACGTCCAAAATTCGCATTAGCATTATTTCATGGGTAGCAAGTCCCAAAACAACTTTTTGTAGTGCCATTTAGGCCGGGGATCATGCCAAATAAAATTTTCAGTAAATATTTTTTTTCTCACTTGTTTTTTTTGGTTATCATAATGAAACTTACAGAAAATAAGGAGAGTGAACATTTCTTCTTGTACACCAAAAATGAAAGAAATCGGACAAGAGAAAAAAATGAGGTCCAAATGTTTGATTATGGGGTGCTGCCCTAGACCCCACCTTCATTCTGAAATTCGAAACACTAATGGCCCCAAGGGTTTCGGATAAAGGGATGTGGACCTGTAGTATGCTCCTTGTTTAGTGACAAATTCATTTACTGACGTAGTCTTAGGAACAGAACTCCGTCATTAAATGAGGAGATTCTGTAGTTGGTACCTTCTTATAAATACTGTATTTGTAACTATTTGTATTTGTGACTATCTAAAGTTTTTTTTTTTTAAATAAAATTTGTTTTCCTTTACTTTCTCATTGCATCTCAGCACAATTTATACTACTAAAGCATAGTCTTACCACAGGGTTGAGTGAGCGCTTCTTAGAACGTGGACAGGGACGCTCAAAACTTCGAAAAACACTGTCTGAAATACAATACATTGTGAATACTTTTGTTAAAAAGTTTTTTTAATATTTTATATTTTAAGACTAAACTTGCAAACATACTCGGAAGTGGGATAGACCAGAAAGAGGGCTACAAGAAAGGTAACCATAAAAGAATAAAAGAGTTCTTTAGCTAGAATGCAGTGAGAAGCCAAGCTCAGCAGTTTATGACAGAATACAATGGTATACTTTACATAGATACACGAAACAGTAACCAACACGTTCATTCCAGTCCCAAAAAGTGAAGTGAGATAAACACAGGAACAACCTTTAGTCCACGAGTTCATGTGAGGTAGAACTAATGAGACTGGAACAAATAAAGGTAATCAACTTGTAGTTAATACTAAAATGTAGGGTAAAAGTAATGGAAAATATATAATAAAGTTTGTTGTATGCCAAAGTGGATTCAGTTCTTTACTTCTTCTCTTTCCTCCATTTGTTAACAACCTAGTCAAGTGGATGGATGCACACACAGGTGCCTCTGACAACTGGCAACTAACCCTTTCAGTGTTTATGTAGAACTACGTCACTGAAGCCTGGGTCCCTTACATAGTTCTATGTCATGAGCTCAGATCACTCAGATAAGCTCCGAGAAGTAAATTTTGGCCTAGATACGAGAGAATGGGTCTGTACAGTGAATGTGTACAGTATAAAAAAAATCCTGCCCCACACGGTGCATGATGGAAAAAGTATAATTCTGAATGTGTGTATGGTTTAAATTAGTGACTCTGGGGTATTTTCTTGGATGGTTTTTATGGCTTTTTCTTGGTTGAAATTGAGCTCAAAGTAATGGATATATTATATTTTTTTCCAATTTTCCTGAGAATGGGTATGGCCCCTACACCCTTCAATCTGTTTTATGTGATTTTAATAGGTCTGATTCAATTTCAGAGGCACCATAAACCTTAACCAATCATTCTAGGTTATATTTTATTGCATATTTGAGAACTAGTATATATTTCCTATTTTTGTGTGATTATGAATTCAAAATGGAAGGCAAATGTAATATAGGAGAGGCCTGGGGATGTGATTAATGAACAGTGGAAATGTTTTAGTGCCAGGAATGTCTACGTTGTTTATTTTTAGACTATTTTTAAATTGGTATTTTTTTAATTTTGTGTAAAATTGGCCAAAATACTGACTTCTGTGTTACAATAGTTGAATGGGCAATTTCTTGTGTTCAGTTGATAGAATGGAAGGCATTCTAGTGAAATAAGTATCAATCTGTTTCATAAAATGTATAAGCCATTCAAAAATTGAAACTGTTTGGAAGAGGAATATGTACTAAAGTTATTTCACAGAAAAATGCACAATTATAAAAACAAAATTCATAAAATGGCACCTACACATTCCAATAACAATCCAAACTTTCTTCCAAGAAGGATATACCAGTAATGAAAATTTGATGCCACTCAGAAGAGGCTTTCTAAAGTTATCATGTAGAAACCAAATTCAGGAATGGTTCATAAAACTGACAAGCAGGTACCTGCCCATACCAACAGTTCTATGAACCTTTTCCTAGTTATAGTTAACCTGCAATGACAATCTGAAATCGACTGGATGAGGTGTTTCAAGTTATAAACAGAAAACCTAGGAAGAATTTAATAAAACTGTGCCTGAGTATATAACTGCTGTATGATAAGAGCAGTACAAAAATATTAAATTTAAGGGATCATTAACCAAGAAATTTAAAATCACCATAAACATGTCAGAAATCAATATTTCTCAGTTTTCCTTCGGTTAAATACCATCTCAAATTCTCTACTATCCTCTAAGAAACAATCCAAAAAAACTGAAATTTGCATGCTTTCTATGACCTACCATACAAGAATAACTAAGGGGATTAACCCTTAAACTGTTCAAACGTAGATCTACATTCACCTGTGTGGTGCTCCGAATATTTTGAAAAATAAAAAAATCGTTTTTTGGTTTTAAATTAAAGAGGGCTATTTTCTGTGTGGTATAAGACAAAAAAAAAATTAGGACCGGTACTTACCGAGATATAAGACCGTGAAATTGGCTCTGGATGCTCACCTGATGGCAACATCGACACCCGCCGCTTGCAGAAGTGTTGCCGATTTACCTTTATTTCTCTTTTTTATTTTAATTTATATGATTTTTATGTTATGATAATTACAATTTATAATAGGTCTTGTGATTTCACAGCAAATCTTTGTTCTGACACTAATATTATGTGCTGAAATAGTACATAAATTGTAAGAATCACACTGACAGGTGAATATTTTCACCTGCCCTGGTCATTTACTATTGTCTAGAAATATATACAAAGTATTTATAGGTCCCAGCAATACTTTAGACACGCTGGAGTATGAAACTCGTTAAAGCATGGTGTTATGACAAGGGTCAGATAAGTGACATTTGATGAATGTGCCCTGCTGGAGGGAACCTTGCCTTTATATGTTTATACTCTTGCACACAAACATGTCTTTGTATGTCTGTGTCAGTCTGTCTGCCTATCTGTCTGTCTATCTGTATATCTGTCTATCTGTACATCTATCTGTCTATCTGTACATCTATCTGTCTATCTGTACATCTATCTGTCTGTCTGTCTGCCTAGCTCTGCTGATCTGTCTGTCCAGTTCAGCTTATCTGTCTTGTGTGTGTGCCTGGAGTATAACATGAACTCCTTGAATAATGGTGTTCTGACAAACGTCAGATAACAAGTGGCATTTGATGAATGTGGGCTGCTGGAGGGGGGAACCTTGCCTTTATATGTTTTTACTCTTGCACACAAACATATCTCTGTATGTCTGTTTGTGAGTCTGTCTGTCTATCTGTACAGCTGTCTGCCTAGCTCTGCTTATCTGTCTGTCTAGTTCTGTTTATCTGTCTGCCTGTGTGTCTGTCTTTCCATCTACTTGTCTCTGTCTCAGGGAGAGGCTAGTAAACCTGTTGGTTTGTGGTTTATGTGCCGCTCCCTGATTGCTGAGCAAGTGACACTGCCATTATTTGCGTCATCTTTATTTATGTCTTATGTCTACAAACACTGTATAGCACTTGGCCTGGAATTGTTGGGTTATCCTAGGTAATTTACACTATGTATAATAACTGTATTTATGAGTACATGTGAGATAGATACAAACAGACAATGATATAGACAGAGAGACAGAGATATAGACAGATATATAGACAGAGATACAGACAGAGACAGCCAAAACCAGCCAGCTAGCCAGCCAAATACATAAATACCCATTCTTTTATGTCTAGGCGACTCAGGCCTATTGCACCAAATTTGAAGGAATGAAAAATAAAACGTTGATCTATGTTCGGAGCCCACTGCACATGAACGTATATCTACGTGTAGACAGTTTAAGGGTTAAAGTAAAATTTTGCAAATTGGCAACTACACAGTCCAATAAAAATCCAGAGCTTTTTTTTTTATTTTTTTTATTATCACACTGGCCGATTCCCACCAAGGCAGGGTGGCCTGAAAAAGAAAAACTTTCACCATCATTCACTCCATCACTGTCTTGCCAGAAGGGTGCTTTACACTACAGTTTTTAAACTGCAACACTAACACCCCTCCTTCAGAGTGCAGGCACTGTACTTCCCATCTCCAGGACTCAAGTCCGGCCTGCCGGTTTCCCTGAACCCCTTCATAAATGTTACTTTGCTCACACTCCAACAGCACGTCAAGTATTAAAAACAATTCGTCTCCATTCACTCCTATCAAACACGCTCACGCACGCCTGCTGGAAGTCCAAGCCCCTCGCACACAAAACCTCCTTTACCCCCTCCCTCCAACCTTTCCTAGGCCGACCCCTACCCCGCCTTCCATCCGCTACAGACTGATACACTCTTGAAGTCATTCTGTTTCGCTCCATTCTCTCTACATGTCCGAACCACCTCAACAACCCTTCCTCAGCCCTCTGGACAACAGTTTTGGTAATCCCGCACCTCCTCCTAACTTCCAAACTACGAATTCTCTGCATAATATTCACACCACACATTGCCCTCAGACATGACATCGCCACTGCCTCCAGCCTTCTCCTCGCTGCAACATTCATCACCCATGCTTCACACCCATATAAGAGCGTTGGTAAAACTATACTCTCATACATTCCCGTCTTTGCCTCCAAGGACAAAGTTCTTCGTCTCCACAGACTCCTAAGTGCACCACTCACCCTTTTCCCCTCATCAATTCTATGATTCACCTCATCCTTCATAGACCCATCCGCTGACACGTCCACTCCCAAATATCTGAATACATTCACCTCCTCCATACTCTCTCCCTCCAATCTGATATCCAATCTTTCATCACCTTATATTTTTGTTATCCTCATAAACTTACTCTTTCCTGTATTCACTTTTAATTTTCTTCTTTTGCACACCCTACCAAATTCATCCACCAATCTCTGCAACTTCTCTTCAGAATCTCCCAAGAGCACAGTGTCATCAGCAAAGAGCAACTGTGACAACTCCCACTTTATGTGTGATTCTTTATATTTTAACTCCACGCCTCTTGCCAAGACCCTCGCATTTACTTCTCTTACAACCCCATCTATAAATATATTAAACAACCACGGTGACATCACACATCCTTGTCTAAGGCCTACTTTTACTGGGAAATAATTTCCCTCTTTCCTATGTACTCTAACTTGAGCCTCACTATCCTCGTAAAAACTCTTCACTGCTTTTTCTAAACAAATAAATTTTATTTCTATAAAATGGTTTACAGTATATTATACAATTAGGATGCATCAATGATGAAGGTTTAAAGCTGAATGAAAAAAAACATTCACGAATTATTCCATGAAAATCAACATTTCAATTTATCCAACTTCTTCAAATAACACTGACACCTACACAGCCCAAAGTTAGAGATTTGAAGCTGATCAGAAGCAGCATTCTCTAGTTTAGGGATGGTCAACCTATGGTGCATGTGCCAAAAGTGGTGCACTGAATGATTATAAGTGATGCATTGCACCCCAGTGATAATAAACAAGCAAGTGCACTCATA